GGAGGTGGGAGGGCTGCCGCAGCCTTCCCCTGGCGCAGCCCTCTCCCTCCCCAACACCTCCTCCTCCATAGTAGTGCTTGGCGAAGCCCTGCCGGAGAACTGCAAGCTCCTCCACCACGTCATCATGCTGCCGGAGCTCTCCCTCTCCCCTTTCTGGATCAAGAAGGAGGAGACGTCCCCGGGCTGTACGTGTGTTGAACGCGGAGGCGCCGTCCGTTCGGATCTTCCGTGATTTGAATCGCCGCGAGTACGACTCCTTCATCCGCGTTCTAGTGACGCTTCCTCTTAGTGATCTTCAAAGGTATGAAGATGCTCATCCCCTCTCTCTCTCTTGTTGCTAGAATCTCCTAGATGGATCTTGGTGATGCGTAGAAAATTTTGAATTATTGCTACGTTCCCCAATGGTGACCGGATCCGGATATGCGCCATACTTCGGTGCCGCCCACTTCAAATATAGACCCTCTGCCCTGGTGGCGGGGGACGAGGCAAAAGAACTTTTTCCATAGTTCAAAATGAGCCTCGCAGCCTAAAAATAATTCGCAGAGGGCGACTAAGCCGGAGATGTGCAGGATGGAACCTGGTGTGAGGTTGTGCAGCTGGATCCCGTAATATTCCAATAGACCCCTGAGGAAGGGGTGGATTGGGAATCCTATGCCCCTCAGAATGAATGATATGAAGCACACCCTCCCCCCTTGGCTGGGGTTGGGGAAATTCTCCGCTAATGCACCATCGCCCATAGAAGTTAATCCTACCCGTACAGAGACTAGATCTGCGGGGGGAAGATATCCTTGCGTCTGGAGACGATTGAGCTGAAGATGGGATGCATAACAACTTTACCAATCCCCCTCCTGAGGGCCATGAGGACGCGAGGAGGAGCCAGGGACACTAGCCATGGTTTGAGCTTTTTTCGTGGTTTGCTTTGTTGCTCTTGAGGCGATGTGGGATGGCGTTTGGGGATCTAACCTTGTTATATAAGCGCTGCCTGTGCCTATTAAAAGGGTGAAAATATAAAGGTAATGAACCGTTGCATTCACTTAGATGCGTGGAAATCGAGGCGATGGCAGAAAGGAATAATAAAGAAGGACACAGAAGCCGATGCCGGATTACGGTCAATCCGGAGTATGGTGGAGAACTCTCCTTGCAAAGCCGAAGACTTATATCCGCATACTAAATTGTCATTGAAGGCAAGTTTGGGGGCTACTGAGGAGTCCTGGATTTGGGGGTCCTCGGGTGTCCGGCCCAGGAGTATGGGCCGGGTTGGATGGGCCGTAGAAGATCAAGCTGAAGACCATCCTCTGTGTCCGGGTGGGATTTCTCCATACGTGAACCGCAAGATTAGAGTCCGGGTGTATCGTTTCTTTCCCTGATGAACTGACCTAGTACAAACCCTAGGCCCCTCCGATGTGTATATAAACTG